ATCTACAGCTAAAGGGATTTAGAATATTATTCGACAAACATACCAAAAGGCTTGTAATGCAATAGTTACGAGATTAAAAGTCAAAACTAATACAATAAAACAAGATAGCAAAATTTTTAATGAATATACAAAAGGATTATAGAGCTTATGGCAAGAAATTGACCATTATCAATGCATTGGAACTAAGTGCACGGAAGATGTAAAGATTTCGAGCAATTTTATTGAAAAACATTGAGTTTAAGGTGTTCCTACAAGTCACATTTCTAAATTTAATCAAGTCAGGATTCTAATTCTTGACAAGAAAGAGGTATCATCTCTTAATCAGATTTTTTCTTTAACTGAGCTGAAAAAAGTTGCAGTGGGATTATGCTTGAGCCCCAAGTCTTAGAAGGTTCAACAATAATGAGAAAAACAGAGACGACTGCTAATATAGGAAAATGTAAGGATAGATTTGTCAATATCCTCTGGTGTAGACAGTGAAGATTGTCTCTGGTGTATTGCGATAAACCACGACATACAAAAGTGAAGTGTCAGAAACTGAATGGTAAGCCTTGGCAATGAGTGGGGCCACCAAGGAGGTCATTGGAAAAATCAAAGTCAGGTTAGCTTCACCATGAATTAGCAAAGTCAAGAAAAATCTCGAGACCAGACTGAGATTAGTCTTGTTTGCTTAATCTATACCAATATTTGGGGACCTCTACAGTTCCAAATATATCTGGATCACGATGATTTATCTCCTTTATTGATGATTGCAGTAGAATCTTTTCAATCCTCCTTGAAACCAAATCAAATATAAATGTGCTTCTAGATTTCAACACCATGATTCACAAATAGTTTTGTACTACAATCAAAAGATTATGATGTAATGATCCACTAGATTATTTCAAAAGAAGGAACTATCCATAAATCCTCATGTATAAATACTTTACAACAAAAAGTAGCTGAGAGGAAGGATGACCTTCGGCTAAACGTGACTCGACCCTTTGGGAGGAAGCAATGATTATAACGACTTACATCATCAACCACCTAATTGTTTGGGTTCTGTGGTTAAAGATACCAACGTAGAGATTCTCTTAGTTTTATCCCTGTCTAAAACCAACAAATAACCTCATCCCAATAGTTTTTGATGCATCTCTTTGGTCTATGTTCGTAGCCGGAACAAAAGGAATGGTTTAAGATTTAGTAAGTGCATAATCATGTCACCAACCCAAAAGAGGCATAAGTGTTACCTTCCACCTGTTAAGTAATTCTTTTATTTCTATCTATATCATTTTTAATGAGAAAAAAATCCTATTTTACTTTGCCTTATCATCACACAAGTCCTTGTCATCCATTGAGGATAAGGACAGAGACTTGTTTTTAATTAACTTCATCACCAACATAGTCATCCTTGTACCAGTCCAACCCATACTACCTACCGAATTACATTAGTTTGTGTTAACATCCTTACTTAATCACACCACGCACCTGTGAAAAGAGTAGTAAATTTTGTTATTCAATAAGATTTATGCAGGTATATTCAAGAAAGGAAAACCCGAATTCTAATTTTGTGCAAGTTCAAGACTCAACATCAAATCCTAAGAATAAGGTAAATACAGTTCCCGAACTTTCTCCTCAAACTAGCATATGATTATGGATTTCCTGCTGCCATTAGGAAAGATACAAGAAAATGCTTGAAACATCTATTTTGTTCATTAATTTTTTAATAAGAAATGAAAAGTTGCTATTACAGAAGGGATGCAAGCACTAGAGAACAACTGAACATGGGAAAATAGTTTCCTGCCATCTGGAAAGAAGCCTGTGGGATGCAGGTGGATGTTTATTGTGAGTCTAGGTTGGATGGTTCTCTAGGGATGTACAAGGTCAGACCCGTGGGAAAGAGATATACAAGAAATTTCTAGTGTGAGATATCAGGACACAGTTGCTCCAATGGTAAAAATGAATTCCATAAGAATTTTATTGGGAGTAATTCTATGTAAAGAATGTACCTTTAGAGCAATTTGGTAGAAGAGATATACATGGATATATCTCTGAGTTTTGAGGGAAAACTAAGAGAAAAGTACTATGTCGTTTAAGCAATCACCAAGAGCTCAGTTTGGAAAATTTGTCAAAGTAATGCTTGCCCTCGGGCATATGATTTTTATAAAACACTCTGATTCAAGTGGAGTTACAGCTTTATTGGTATACAGCGATAACATAATTGTGATTGAAAACAATAAGAAAGAGAAGGAAGAACTGAGACGATGTCTAGTCAGAATATTGGAGACAAAAGAACTTGGGAGATTGAGGTACTTTTGAGGAATTAAAGTAGCTCATCAGAGGGCATCTTAATTTCACAACAAAGTCCCAAGGAGATGGGAAAGTTAGCATGTAAACTTATCTTCAACAAATCGAGCAAAATTGCGTACTGGGAAAGGCAAATGAAGATCCAGTTATAAATTGAGAGATGTACCAAAGACTAGAAGGAAAATTTATATATCTTGCTTATAGAAGGCCAAACATTATTGAGCATGGTTGGCGATTTATGCATAATCTAATAGAGGTTCACCTTCATTCATTTTGCAGCATGCTATATTACCTAAAGGCTAATCTTGGCAAAAGGATTCTATTCAAAAGAAATACTGGATTAGTCCTTTAGACATATACTGGTTCCGATTATGCAGGCTTACCAATTGGTAAGCAGCCTACTAAGAATTATTAATTTCTTTGGAGGCAATCTTGTCACCTAGATGTGTAATGCAGAATGTGGTTGTTAAATCAAGTGCTGAGGTAGAGTTCAAGATGATGACACAAGAAGTATGTGAATTATTATAAGTTGAGATAATATTGGAAGATTTAGAGATCTAATTAGAAGGGTTAATAAACTACTTTGTGGCAACAAGTCTCACATGGAAATTGTTTATGATTCTGTATAACATAATATAATGAAGTGCATTGAATTAGATAGGCACTTCGTGAAGGAAAAAATTAGATAATGGATTGATGCATTCTATACGTCTCCACTAATGGTTAGGTTGTAGATATGCTAACAAAAAGACTTAGTAGTGCAATGTCCGAGTACTTATCTCCAAGCTCAGAAAGAAAGATGCAAAATTAATAGCTTGAGTTGAAAGGTTAGGAACCCCTCAATCTTCTAGTAGGAAACTATATCTGTCTACAATTATAGGAATTTTGGTTAAGGAATTCCATTGATATGGAGATTTGATTTAGTTTGGTGTAATTACTTTTTTATCTTTTCTTTTTGCAAAAGTTGTATTCTCAATATAAAAAAAATTCAGTTTCTCGCTAAATTACAAATTTGTCATACATTAATTGGGTGTTGCTGCTGACTGAAAACTTATATTAATGATAGCTTCTTGTATAGTTTCTTAATTGTGTTTGAAAAAATTTTAAAAGTTGCGACTAATTTTTGATATTTTACTATTTTTTCAGGAATTAATAAAATTTGTAATGATCCATGGAGGGGCTCAGCAAGTGGAGATGGTCGATTCTATCATAGCCAAGGAAATATCTCCTGATCCAGATGCTTCTCACACTTTGGTTGTGAAAGATTTAGAAGACATTTCAAGCTTATATGTACAGGTAAAACCTTCTGTGAAGGAAAAAATTGGGCGACATATTTTATTTTTTGCTTCTGCCACTCATTAAGAATTTTGGTTTTCTGTTTATCCATCCCCAGTTTTCAATATAACATTTTCCAATAGAAACTCCATTAGTAGTTATTTGATTCAAAAACCATGCTAAAGCCATATGAAATTGATAAATATACTTCAATATTCAGGGACTCATCTGTTATTTTTTTAAAATCATGGATCTAGTTGTGGTTATACTCAAAGTCAAGATTTCCTTTCAATTTATGAACTATAAAAGTTAATAGAAGGAAAAGTAAAAAGATATTTCCTAACATATGTGTGTCAGGTTTTCCGATTAGGTACAACATAAACTGTCATGCTGTGCCTTGTAGGAAAACCTTGCTTGATTGATTGATTGAACATGGGCATGAAAGATAGTTTTTAAAAAAATGTTGTCCCAACTATAACTTCCTTCATTGAACACGACCATGGTGATAACTTTCGACAGTACCTGGAGAAATATTTTTTTGCGAATCTATTTGCATCACATTGCTGCTGGTAACTTTTAACTGTAATGCCTAGTATATGTATACTTATTACCACCAAATGCTCCGGAATTCATAAATAACTGATGCAAAATTAATGGTTGCAGTTTGTTGATCTCTACGGAACTATTCATGATATAAGAAAGGCCTGGAGTCGGCACTTCAAATTGTTTCCACAATCTTTGATGACAATGTATAAGCGCTCACCTCTGTGTACAGGACCCTTGAGTATTACTATAGAAGGAAAAAATGAAACTCATATTGCTTCATCTCAGCAGCCATCAGGAGCTTGTGACATTAATGATACAGTCCACTTTCCACTTCAGGACAAGAATCTATCACTTCCAGAAGCTGAAGATACACAATCTAATGATTTTTCTGCTAGCAAGGGATCAGACCAGAAATCTCAGTTGCCGAAAAATCACGACCTTCTTTCTGACCAGGTTACAACTGACCTGCTTCAATCAAGAGAGACTGAAAGTAGTTCACATGCACAAGTACAACAGGTATCTCTTGAAGCTCTAAAACAATCCATGGAAGATACAATTGAGCCGAATGTGTTATCTCAAACACCAGTTGATCGAGTTGCTGATGAAGTTAAAACTTTACAAACATCACAAGATGTTAGAGAAAATGATGTTCAGCATGCAAATGACTATAAATCCGAACAGGATCTAGAGCCACTTAAACTAGAGAGACTTTCTTTAGATTCTGAGGGTGATAAAAATATACATTCAGTTCATGCCGAGTCTGATAAGTGGGAAGCTTCTCAAGAAACCAGCATGTCAAATGGAAGCATACTTACGAATGGCCAGAATACTATGGAAGCGCATTTCTTGTCAAGTCCAAGGTGTACTCGGTCATCCGATGCCATTGAGATTCAAACCTGTACCCATAGTCCATCTACAGCAAGCCCTCAAGTTGGCGTAACAGAGGCATCTCATCGACAACGGTCGTCAATTCAAAGTGGTCGAAACTGGCATCGAAGGAACAATGCAGATAAAGTTTATAGAGAATCAAAATCCAACTTCTCTGGAAATTCACGTAAAAAGTTCTCTCAACAGTTTCATGTTTCCCAAGAAAAACAATATTCACGGCCTGACAATGGCACCCAAACACCTGCAGCCCAAGTTTATCCTAATCAACATATATATTCAGAGAACCCACTGGGCCCTCAAGGTAGCCAAGAACTAACTCGTCAACCAACATCTACTACTCATGCTAATCAAGCAGTACCACCAGCCTGGTCTATAACAAATATGCAAGAGCATAACTTTTCCTCGACACCTATGGGTCAAATACCGTCTCAAGTTGTTTCTTACCCTCAAGGGCAGATGCTTCAATATCAACTGCAAAGAAATGAGCAGCAGGGACCTATGCAGAATAATCAAGCATATACTCAAATGTGGCAATATTATTATTACCAGCAACAACAGCAGCAACAGGTTCTTTTGCTGCAGCAGCAACAGCAGTTGCAAGAGCAGCAGCTGCTGCAATTGCAACCACACTATGTGCAGCAGGAAGAAGTTCAACAACAGCAAGCATCTTCTCAGCATCCACAACAGCAACCACCTCAGCGTCCAGAACTGGAGCAATTCAAACAGTATGATCCGCAGCTGCAGTTTGAGCAGAAGCAACAATTGCTGCAACAACATCAATACACTCAGTTGCAACTGCAGCAACAACAACAGTTATTGCAGCAGCAGCAACAGCCATATCAACAGCATGTCCTTTACATGCAGCAGCAGGAGCTGCAACTGCAGCACCCACAATATCAGCAATTAGAACAGCAGCAGCTTGTACTACAACAATTGAATCCTCAGACAATGCTGCAACAAGAACAACAACTAAGGTCACAACAACCAGGGCAACAGGGAGAAGAACAAAGACAAGTTGAACTACAGACATCTAAAACTGCAGTTTCAGACATGGAAAAATAACTGTAAGAATGTTTGCTTCTGAACAAGTTCATGTTTTAAGAGAGGTATAACTTTTGTGTCCTTGTATTCACTTATTCCTATGCATAAATTTGTATATAAACTTCATTGATGCAATAGTTTTATTCTTTTATCACTTGCATATTTAACAAAATTTTGTTAGGATGTTCATAATGTACATGTAAGACTTAAATCATCAAAAGGTACAAGAAGTGAACTTGGACCAAGTAGAGATAGAAGAATCGAGAATGAAGTTTGATTTGTGTTTGTATTTAACTTTTTGTTGATGCCAAATATATGACCCTGTAATTTTTTGGAGGCCAAGTGTGGGTGCATTGGATTTTTGTGGCTCCATACAATACTTTTTATTGATGTCAAATGTATGAGATCTTATAATTTTCTTGGGGCCAAATATGTGTGCATTTAAAGTTTTATGGCACCCTACAACACTTTTTGCTAATATCAAAGGTATGAGATATTATTTTCTTAGTGCTGATTGGTGGGTGTAGTTGATCTTTATGGCACCCTATGGTTGTTTGTCATTTGTATTTGGAAATACTTTAGAAACGTTAAAATACAGTAAATAAAGAATTTACTATTGAAGTATATGACATTGTTTATGTTGCCATTTGTGCCTTTCTTTTTTGTGTTCTAGATACTTTGTTTAGCTACAAGTTATAAAGAATTTGTTTTCGAATATAAATGAGATTGTTATATGTTGATTATTGTTAACGGATGTTAAATTTATAAACTTCTTTTGGATTATCTTTTAGATTTTGATTAGTTTTATAACTTTTGAAATTCTTTTTATTTTTCATAGTTTAAATTATAGGATGACAACAATTCATTCGAGTACATGAGAAGTAAGTTCAAAATGAATTCACTTTCACATTTTTTTTCAAGCCAACTTTTGATTTCATTCATAATATCATTCCACTTGCACAAATTTTGCAAATACATAAATATTCATATTAGTCTAACATAATAAGTTCCAACCTACAATGTACGCAATTGCTAATATTATCTTCACTAACAATATCACAAGTAATATAATAATGACTCATGGTAGGAGTAACAATCCGAATATATTTACATTTTAAATGCTACGTCCAATTGATATAGTTGATTCTATTTTGGAGTAGTCCCTCATGTTGTGACATTCTCTATACCATTAGCTTCATTTAAATGTTGTTCTAATCGAATTTTTAGTCCAATTTCTAAAATTGTGATTCTTCTAAGAAGGTTAGATATGATATTAATGGATTTAGGAGTCATGTTATATAAAATATCAACGTTTACCTTTATAAGTGAATTTACGATACAAAAATTTTTGTCATGATTGTAATGAACGAATGAGATTGTAACCCCTAAATTTAATTTTAATGTAATTTAAAATTAATTTATAAATATAATTTTTTATTTTTTTAATTTTAATTTAGTGTAAAAATGAAGAAAATTTGATGGGGGATGAAATTGAAAATAATTTTGGCAAAAATGGGTGAAAATTTGGGTTTTAGAAGTATTTTTGAAAAAAAAAATAGAAAACTGGGGATCAAAATACAATTTAGAAAACTTATGCAATGTAGGATGCCTGGTCAGCAGTCCCGATAAACCAAAACGCGCTGCGTGGCAATGGATGCTGACGCGGTGCCACGCAGGCGATCCGCGTGCTCGTGATCAAACGGCCAAGATCCGTTCCCGCGTGTACGGACAGCCTGGATGCGCTCCCTCCCCAAACACGATCGGACGGCCAAATTTAAACGCGATCAACGGTTCAGATCTGTTTCTTATTTAAATGCGATCGGATGGTCCAGATTAGATCACAATGGACAGCCTATATTCACTTCTTATTTAATCACGATCAGACAGTTTATATCAAATGCGATAGACGGTCCAGATCAAAAGGGAATGAGTATAAATAACTCCCTTCACATCAAATCCTAACCCTAGTCGTCAGACCTCCCTCGCTGGATAAGAAGATCCAACCGCCGGAAAGGAGGCCGCCGCCACCGACTGCCACGTCGGAGCTCTTTCCGACCGCCAAAAGAGGTAAAAAAAATTCTCTTTGCTCAGAATTCAATTTTAAACACCTTCATGGCCAAATCGGAGCAAAAAGACCAGCGAATTGGCCGAAAACCGCGAGTAAAGCCCAGTGGCGTTGCCACATAGAATTTCACAAAGCCTCCGATGAGCCCCTTTCCGATTCTTGTTCTGCGTAATTATTCTACCATTGTGATCACCGTTTCCTTCTTTATAGGTTGACTGAAGTAAAACACCCAACCGCAACGTGAGCTGGAGGAGCCGTTTCACCGGAGAGCCTCGTCACCGGTGAGCTTCGATTTTTGTATTTTTTCAATCATTCGAGGCCCCTTAATGTATTTTCTTGCAGGGATTGATGTAAAATTGACCGAAAACAGCCTACCCGAGGCGGACTGCCGTTGCGGGTGGCGGCACCGTCGCCGGAGCACGGCATAGCAGCTTGCAGAAATTCTGAAATTAGCAAAAAATGGGTCCTAAGATTGATTTTGGGTTTTTGGAACATTTGTAGTTACTTATAACGCGTTTTAATCTTTGAAAAAAAATTCAGGGAACCCGGAGATGGCCAGTAGGCGTAGTAAGTAACTTAGCTTTTCAAGCATCAAATTAAGTAAGAATCTCTCACCCTATTATCTGTTATATAATTGAAGTCAAATTAATAATAATACAGTGTTTTGTACAGTTTAGGAAATATTTATAATTAATTACGGGTTACTAATGGAGGTAGAACTGAAAATTATTCTTTGTTGATTTCTGTCGATTTATTTTACAGTTTGAATGCATAATAATATTTGATTTATCAATTTTTATGATTTTGAATGCATGTATTGATGCCTTATGTGACTACTATTAAATTAATAAATTCGAGATATGATTGCATTCCCTTATAAATATTTGTTTGTTTATGTGATTACGGTTGAATTGAGGAACTGGAGATTAAAAGTAAATGGGAATTGTGTGATTAAGTGAATGCATGAAACAACAACTTTACTGAATATCTTGGGAGATGATGGAGAGACCGAGTACAATAGGGAGCTCTACCGTGAACGTTGTCTTATATCGGATAGGGTATTGAGACTTGGCAATTTGGCGCTCATATCGGACGAGGTATGGAGACAGCTTGTTTCACCTTTATACCAGACGGGATATTGAAGTTTAGTAATTTGACGCTCATATCGGATAATGTATAAGGATGACTCGTTAATTGAGAATGTTAAAGAAAATAGTTCACACGTAACGGAGACATCTCTATGAACTTCCATGAATACTAGTAGGTTGATGGAAAAGGAGTAGTTGTTGTTTGATTTATGGAATATGGATTTATAATTTGTGCATGTAACCGATTGCATATGAAATCATGATAAGTGCTATGTTGTTGTCTCTATAGAATATTTTTATAAATCTCTCTGTGGTAAGTGGACGGTAAATAGTTTTATTACCAATAAATGTATTTGTTTGATTAAGTACTCAATTAGTTGTTTCGATTTTCTACCAATCTTCATTTCTGTATCGGTGTATAACGTGATATTTTTACTAGGTTAGTGTAGCTCATTTCTTATTTAACTATTTCAGATCAAGAGGACCAGGATCCAAATCCTGATCCACAAGAGAGTTGCGAGTAGAAAGCTAATTTTATTTATTTTTTGCTTATTTTCTTATTTTTTGTATTTTTTTTTAAAATGATAATTCTCATAAAACTATTCGGTACTTTAAATTATTGTGTAAGAAATGTAAACCTTAACAATTTATTTCGCTTCCGCACTTAATTTATAATTTATTTCTTTTGTACATTCTATGATCGTTACAGAGGTCCTTAGTCAAGCTCGAAGTTTACAAAAATAAATATGATTTCCTTCTATTTTATACTATAGGAAAAAAAACAACTCAACAACGTAGTTTTAATAAAATATATAAAACTTTAAGAACTCATGTGTAACATTAACAAACGCTAAGGACTTCATTGTATCATTTATCTATAGTTCAAGACTAAATTAATATAATTTTTACTTCATCATCAGAATAAATATAAGAACTAAACTTGATTTTGCAGACACCTTAAAATCTTATAAACCAATCATAAAGTCAATCCCCCCTTAATATAAACTTACGCAAAACATAATATAATATTAAAAATCACAAAATTTTGACTAAGAAAAGGATGTTTCGGCTCTTCACAATCCCAAGTTCTCTTATTGATCTCTTTCTATTCCTACTTTGTAAATTAAAAAAAAAAAAAAAGAAATTGCAAATTGCATTTGTAGACTTCCTAATTTTCTTTAATTTTTTATTTGGTTTTAGTTTTCTTCTTTGTTTCAATTTTTTTTTTCCATATATGAAACCATTATCTACCATGGAAAGTCCTAGTTTCTAAAAACTTTATTTATTTATTTATTTTTTCAATTTTCAGAAATTCTTCTTTGAATTTCTTTTTTTTCCCCTCTTTTTAATTGCTTTAAAATTTAAAATTAGTGTAACTTAGTCAATCCTCCCTTTTGAATTATTTTTAAAGATGTATAAACATAGTCTTATATTTTTTAATTTTTTATTACTATTTAGATATAATTATATATTTAAAATATATAAATAATATCATAAACTAACTTATAAAAAAATTTAATTAAAACAGATAACAAATATAATAGATTAATTTAATAAAAAAAATAATAAATTACTAAATTAATTTTTAGAATTTAACATTTGATCGAACTTGATAATAAGTATTCTTTTTTTTTTTACAATTTATTCTACGATATTTTATATTTATTTTAAATTTTTAATTTCTTTTTAAGTCGTATTTAAATATTTAAAAAGTAATTTTAATAAATTAATAATATTATTAGATTTATTTCTATTGTTATCAATTATTTAATAAATTATTATTATTATTATTTTAAAAAATATATAATATAATTATTTAAATTTTATCTATTTAAAATATTAAATATTAAAAATTAAATTATAATAATAATTACTAATTTATTATTTTGTTCTTTAAAAAAATATTACTACTAATGCGGCACAAACTGTA